TTAAATTAACTAATTACAGGAAATAGTGGTTAATTTAAACTCAATTAAATGAAAATTGGAAGTTATTATATTCTTATTAAAGTAATTTTTAAATTTAATTATTAATTTTTTTTTAATATAAACAAATAATTAAAGGAAGGAAGATTTCAATTTATAATTAATAAAGGTAAGTATACATTTGTTAATATCTATAAGTTACAAAAAAGAAAAATAATAGGCTACCATGTCTCTAATTTTTCCACAAAATTGATAATTTAATTATTTTAAACTCACTTTCTAAAGATCCTACTTTTAATACTCTTGCATTTAGTTTTGCCCATGTGACTTATTGAAATAAAATTTCAAATACCTAGTTTCGGTACTATTCTTATAATTTAAAAAAGTAACTAATATTTATTATTTACTTTTCCATTTAGAGTTTAGATCATGATGGAATTTATCAAAAAATTTTATTGATTTCTTTTTCAAATAACCCAATGATTCATAATCATGAATATTAGCATATTTGTTACAATTAGTAAGATGTTTAATTTAGTGTAAGCAATAAATCTGATTTAAAGTATTTTAGTAACCAATTTTACATGTTTAATTTAAAATTATTTATGCACTTTAAAATTTCAACGTCCAAAATATAATAATTAAAAAAGAATGTAATTTTAAGTTAAATAGAAAATTCTTCTATTCATAACAGAAAAATCAAATATACAGAGTATTTGGTTGGAGCAGACAGAAACAAATTAAAATAATAATTCAGAAGGAATATCAACATAATATGAAGCAATCAATTAAAAGTTAGTATAGAATTTCTTGTAACTGTTCAAGTTTAGAATAAATGTGAAGTATTCTAATAAATCATTTTCTTTCAATATCAATATCATATTTATTTACTAGTCTATGCATATTACTAAATATTTAATATTGGTAAAATCAAAAGGAAATCACAGCCCCTCATGCCTCAATAAGGATTAAATGAAAAAATTTAATTTCTACTTAATAAATTAAAAATAATTAATATCTAACTTCTAATTTACGGATTCCATTCGATATATATAAAAGATCTTTAATAATCAATTAATTTAAATTCTAAATTATTACAAGCATCTTTAGTTATTAATTATAAATTACCTTATATGATCTTTTCAACATTCTTAGCATACAAAGCAAGAAATTTGCCTTAGTCTTTCCTAAACCTTTTTATTTTGATCGATCTCTTATTACAAACTCAAATATTTCATTATACTTTGGCATAAAGTGAAATCAGCAGATCCTTTTTCACTCCATTTAATGCTGATAATAGTATATCTATATATATATAACGTTAGATTGGAAATCGTATTATACCATGTCATCAAATCATATTAAGGATTGTGGAACTGCATCTATTTTTGGAGGTCCTTTGGTGTTTAATTATCAAACAACTATCACAAAGACATTTATTTTACCTCCTCATTATAAGGTATATTTCGAGTTTAAATTTTGGAGGTATATCAAAATGCTATTTTTTAGATTGGATCCCTGGAATGGTTCATATTACATTTTTTTTTTATTGATGGATAGTAAGCATATAAAAACAATCCTAATCTTTCAACTGGAACTGAAATTTGTGGCAGTGGTACTCTTGGAGAAATTGAAGAAATTTCTAACACTATTAATCACAGTGGGAATAGTGCTATAGTTACACTTATTTCTCTACAGAATTCAGCATCATGGGGAATTTCTGATTTCATCTTATCCATATATCCATGTCCAATAGGATGTGATAATTGTGATTTAAGTGGTAATTGCTAAAATTGGAAAAAAGTGCTGACATTCTTTAATAAAACAGTTTTAACAGATGGTGAGGGATGGAAAAGTAATTATGATATATGTGATGGGATTTATTCGTGTGGAAGTACTATAAGAAATATTTCTAGGTTTTCAATATTATGGTAAATTTTAGATGACAACGATACTTTCGGTTGACTTAAATTTAGCTGATCCTCATACAAAGGTAAAGATATAGTTTAAATTCCTATGTGCATATGTGACTGGATCTATTATTATGAGGGTAGATGCTAATGGAGTATTACTAGGCGATTCAGAAAAATCTTTTTCTATTATTACTACTAATGATATCATTTGCGGTTCTTTGTTATAATTAGATAATATCTTGCTGGATGAAATTATAAGCAGCGATTAATTATTGACCCTATATTTAAAGTTTTCTGAATCTCCTGATCCAGCAGATAGTACTCACTTTTTTGGTATTAGAGATTTTGAAGTATTTATAGACGCACAGGAATGATTTGCAATGATATCAATATTATTGCATTTGATGGTTGTAATGAAGGTTGCAGCAATTGTGTGAAGGGTCTTTGCACTTAATGTTTATCATATTGGATATTGAATACAATTTTAGGATAATGTGTGGCCAAATGTGGCGATAAAATAGTAGTCTCTGAAGAATAGTGTGATGATGGAAACTAATAGCCTTACGACGGGTGCTATGAGTGTAAGTTCTCTTGCCCTTTAAATTGTATGCTTTGTTAATTTGGCGGATGTTTGATTTGCAATTAACCATATGAATTAATTGATAATCAATGTGAATTTACTTGTTATCTAGATGAAAATGAAAATCTAAGTCTAAGTCTCTATCCAACTTAAAAAGCAGAAGGCCATTATTGCTAAATTTCTAATTTTTTAAGCAATATCTACACCCAACATATTATAATTAATACAGATCTTCAACTCATATATGATAGTAATTAATGTAGTATTTTTAATTATGGAATTTTTGCCTATTAATATTAATTGTGTGTAATCGAAACACCTCAAAATTGCAGAGTTTCCTTTTTCAGCATATGTTCAATTTGCGATGATAATTTTGAATTATCTAACAATCTCTTATGTGTACCCATCTGTGGTGATGGGGTAATTTAAGAATATGAATCATGTGATGATACTAATGAATAGTAGTTTGATGGATGCTATTAATGCTAAAGTATGTGTCAATTAGAATGCTTATAATGTATTGCATCCTAATGTTATAAATGCATGGACGGATCCAAGTTAATTAACTTTAAATGTGTATCAGAGTGTGGGGATGGTTTAATTGCTTTGCTATAAAATGAATAATGCGATGATTAAAATAATGAAAGCAATGACGGATGTTTTGAATGCAAATTTGAATGTTCTTAAAATTGCATTCTTTGTAACCTGAATTTAGATTGTTTCTAATGTTAGAAGTATTATGAGCCTTAAAATAAAGTTTGTACTCCTATATGTGGAGACGGAATAGTCATAGAAGAATTTGAATAATGTGATGATGGTAATGATATATAAGATGATGGATGTTATAAATGTTAATTTTCATGCATAGGAAATTGTCAGATATGTGATCAACAAAAATGTTTAGATCCTCAAATATAATAATGTAAAGATGATGGATATTATTTAATTGATAACCAGTGCCTTTCAATTTGTGGAGATTTAATAATTGCATCTAATGAGCAATGTGAGGATGCTAATGAAATCCCTTTTGACGAATGCTATTAATGTGAGTATTCCTGTCCTTTAAATTGTTTTGATTGCAATAAAGGATAATGCTTATATTGTGATGATGGTTATCAAATTAGTAATAACTTATGCATAGGTATTTGTGGGGATGGATCTAAGTTAGAAATAGAGGAGTGTGATGATTTTAATCTAATTTCTCAAGATGGATGTTCTGATAAATGTGAAATTGAAATTAATTGGGCATGTACAGCAATCGATTTTGAAACAAGCTAGTGTCTTTAAAATAAACCCCCCCATTTCAACTTATTATTCATAAATCAAACTTATGACTCATAATTTATTTAACTGCAAATTACAAGCAAGGTCAAATTACACGATTCCTATCAAAATTTGACAAAAAGTTTGAAAGCATTTCTTGTTGATGTAAATCCCTTAGATTATATAATTTATTAAGAAGCAGTAGTTGAACCAAATGCTATTGTTTTATAAGATATTTATTACTTGTTTTAAATTTAATTATTAAAATAAGTAACCAAATGAGATAAACTTTTAGGTAGAGTTTGACACTTTCTTAGTTGATAATTATGGATTTTAAGTAGAAAATTAAGTATATACTCATCGGGCTTGGTAGCTTTATTATTTTGTTATCCGGTAATCCTGCTGAATGCTCTGATGTTTTAGATGAAATGTAGTATTAATCTAATCTAAAATGAATAAATTCAAATTTTCCAGAAAATGTCATGATTTATTTTGAATCTTATGAGGTGGTCACAATTATGAAAATTTTAGAAAAAATTAAGTTCCTTGTTTTATTTGAATTTTATATAGGATAAGAATTAATGCCAGAATTTGGAAAGTATATATTTAAAAATCTGAATTA